TGATGCCAGTCCCTGACAACACATCAGTCAAAATAGGAAAAAATTCATGTAGAAAAAAACCCCTCGATGCTCCCTTCACTTAGGGGTCCAGCATGACTATAGGTTCCAAGGAGTCACCAGAGCTTTCCTCATTTCTGCTTGGATCTCTGACACTTGAAGTATTGCGCAGACAAGTAAGGGTTCCCATGAGCAGGTGCTGCAGTTTAAATTGTGTTATTTGGTGTTATGGAAGGCCTACAGGAGCAAAGAGCTACACAGAAAGATAAATGTTTAATAATGAGCCCAGCAAGATTGTTCTAAGGGCATGAACACAACTGCACGATGAAAAGAAAAATGGCTCGTCCTTGCCCCTCGCAGCATTTCTTGACATTACAAATGTTCTCCTGAAAATCTGTTTATATAGCTCCATTTCTGGCTCTCATTCACTGATTAAACATACCACGGTTCACCTGAGTTAGAGCTTTTGTTTGCAGCTTATGGCGAAGGGATGAGTTGGCGGGAGCGTGACGGGAATGCCTGGCTGGAAGCAGAATATTAAAGCTAGAAGTTCTGTTCTGATGTGAAGCTTTTTGGTATTTTCACTGGTTCACTGATGAGCTTTTCCTTCCTTTCTCAGTTCCTGGCTACTTAGTACAAGGTGCTTTGGGTGACCAGGATAATCCTGTCTGGTGGGGTTAATTCTTTTTGCAGTGATGCTAGATTTCTACTTTCAAGAGAATTAAAATTTATCTCAGCAATAGGGGGATGTTGTTGTTTCTGTGTGATTAGTTCCAGTCACCTGAAACTAATCTCTTGCATTTACTTGCAGAAATAGGAAAATATAAGGCAAGTTAGCATTCATTTATCTAAAATATCTAACTTTTTTTTTTCCTGTGTTTAATGTTTGAGAACTGGCTTACGCTCTTAGTTTCCTCATTTTCTGCCTCTATTTTCTGGATGTAGCTCCTTAAGTGCATGCCGCAGGACAGGAGAGACGCTGTCCAGCTGGGGACCAAGGTGGTTTGGGATCGGATATTTTCGTGCTACCTAACCCACTGATGCTGTACTCACCTGCAATGTTAATATTAAATTGCACCAATAAGTGGGTTAATCTCAGTGGATCCCTTCCCTCTTCAATATAATGTACAGTAAATAAGAAATGAAAGTGTCTGTATTAGTATTTCATGGAATTTCCTCTACAGTTATAAAAGTATAAAGGTACTTTATTGTCTGTGCAGAGAAGCTCATGCATTTTTGAATAAGTGTTCTGAGGAGAAAATTCACTTGCTGTCACAAGAGCTGTAAAGTACTTTCGCACAACGCATATACAAGATCAGCTCAGGAGAGAGCTGTCATGCATCAGATTAGAGAGCAGCGTGGAAAAGTTAGTGTTTCATGCGATGTCTGCAGCTGCATCCAAGAAGCTGCTCTTCATTTTGGTGTGAAAAGCTGTTCCTTTGGGCACTTTTAATCTCAGCTGAAGTCTTCAATTGCCCATATGAATAAGCAATTTATAATTTTAAGTAGCTCTCTTTGGACTCATGCAATCCCCTCCATGGCCAGCGTGTCCCTTTCAGACAGGGATATCCCATCCTCCTGCAAAACCCCAGCCACATCAGGCTCATTTCAGCACTTTCTGCCTTTCCTTCTTGCAGGAATATAGCACAATAGTGGTCTCAGCTTGTCCCTTAAATGGACCGTTTTTCAGGAATAAGTAAAGAAAAATACTATTTAATAGGAACTTTGTTTGAAAGAAACATTGCTGTATGTAGGCCTCTGTAATCATACTACTGTTTTTTCATGACATTTTAAAGCACTCTTCCTTGAAGCTTTTCTTTCAAACTCTGTTCTTTCCTGTGTTCTTTCCTTAATGATATTAAGCAAATTGTTGGTATAATCTTTAACTTGGTGTTGGTGCCCACTCCCAGGGAAAAGAGAAAGTTAAACAGCTCTGTGATGGATTTGATGAGGATCTAAGATTAATTTCTGAAATGTTGATAGAGGGCCAGTCAACACTGTCCAAGGGTCACTGCATGTGTCATTAGTATCTGGTGGAGCAAGTGTAATGAAAAACTGTGCTGCTTCCTGTAAGCAAATAGGAGCATGACTGAATTTCACCCTGCTATCTTCCTTTTGCTGATCTTATTTTCCCCTCATTTTTGGTAATAATCAAAGAGGAACACCACCAGGGCTCTGTGGCACATTGCCAGTCCTCATTGTCTCATACAAAAGAAATTGTTCCAATAAATTCAGCTTCATGGCAATTCCGCCTCAATTTTCTCATCCTTGTATTTTCATTGTAGCTGTTCCCAGACGCAGGGAAACAGTGAGCTGATTAAAATGTCTGATGAATTCTCTGAAGTGCCAACCAGCAGGAGACTTTGACTGTCTCATTGCCAAGGACAACTGGATTTCTTTGTCCAAGTCAATTCCCATTACATGGTGAGCGATAGCAAGAGCCGAGGGAAACCTGGATGCCACACATGGACCAGTGTCCACAATAGCAAGAGCCGAGGGAACCTGGCTGCGGCTTTGGATGCCACACATGGACCAGTGTCCACGGTTCTCCGTATCCCTGGTGGCTGCTACAACTGCTGTTGGCTTCGTCAAATCTGAAAACGAAATTTAGGAAGGCATTTTCTGCTTTCCTAACAGTTATTTTTTTTTCAATTGCCAAAAGAAATAATAACCCCAAGAAGCAGCAGCATTAGCACGAATGTAAATACTGAACATTCGGAAATTCCTAATCGAAACACTGCTGACATTGCTTTAAGCTAAAGCTTTAAATGCTCAGAATGATTAGGACTAATGATTTATACGCCTATCTTTTGATAAATTTTCCCCTTCCAATAAATAACTTAAAAGAAAGCACAATAAAATAGTAATCCTTCTGGGGGCCATGTCCCAAAGAGAAGAGAGGGTCAAATAACCTCCTGCACTCAGAAGTGGGAGGTTTTCTGTTTGTTTGTTGTTGTTTTTTTTTTTTTTAAGTGCAGAACTAATCTATCTGAAGTACATTTTAAATGGCCAGTAATGTGCTGTTAGAGAACAAAACACACTATTCCATAGCAATCCTAATTACCGTATGACTGTATTTCAATCTGTGCTAGCAATGAACTGATCATTAAAGCTCACAATAACCACTTTGTTATTATCCAAACATCTAGAAAAGAGTCCATTAAATTTTCCATGCGATCACTGCCTCAAAGCTAGTGAAGATGCAGACATGAGGGGAGGCTTCTCCACGCTCCAGCTTTATGAGTCGCTTTTGAAAGACCCTTCTTGAGGGCACTGGAAGTGTCTGGAGTCTCACTTTTATCATGACTGTTGAAATGGCAGTTGGTTGCAGTCAAAAGTGGAGCAACAGGGCAGTTGCTAGATCTGGGCCATGTTCACCATCAGCTGCAAAGCCCTATAAAACCTCCCCTTTCCTCCTCTCTGTTTCTCTCCACTCCCTCACCCCCCTCCTCACCTCTAGAAAGTTCTGCGTTTTGAAACAGTTGAGGTTTTTACATTTTTACATTTACATGTATTCAACACGAAAGCTCATAAATGAAACACTCCACTCCACTAATGCAATCAACTACTTTAACAAAATATTTATTTTTCATTTTTTCCCTTAGATATTTTACATTTTAATTATCCTGCTTTGTGATTAAAGAAGGTCACATTCTAAATTCAATCATGCTGAAGAACAATATGAAATAAAGAAGCTTAATCTTTACAACAGAATTCTTCTGCAGACTCTGGTGATGCTGTAATTTTGTCATTAAGGAATTGCCCTTTTCAATTGCCTGCTGTTAGCCCCCTTTTTTCCCTCTGAACAATAAACTGAAGAAGAGCCTCAGCTACAGGATACAAAACATGTACTTTCTATACCAGAGCACCACAGCTCTTCTCTTTGCTTTTAAACTTGTCTATTATTTGTCCCATCAGTGAAGAATGAGCTGTCATTTTTTTGAAAGATAATCTGAGTTACGTCATTTTAAGTTGCTCCCTGCAAAATACCAGCCAGGTATTTTATAGTTTATAGGGAAAGGAGAACCATGCAGAGTGGCTCATTCTGGTCCACATGCAGTGAAGAATATATAAGATTAGTGCCGAAGAACGAATTTGTTTGAGCGACCCTAATACTTTAGTTGTCTGTCTGTAGCAAATTATCAGTGATTTTTTCAGCTTAGCATCAAGGTTCTTTACATTTCTTTTCTCAGTCTTTATGTGTACCTACCATGTCAGAAGTTTGCACAGGTTTGATTCACCCCTTCCTCCTATCAGTTTTGCTAATAGTTAAATATTGAAAAGAATGAAAGTGATTTTGTGTTATTAAAAAATCTTTGGTCTATGAATTTTCTGATAGGATCCTTTTCATAAATCAAAGACATTTAATTATGGTACATGTAGAAAGTACATGGAAAAGCAGATTTGCCTTTCTATTGCCTTACTCCAATACAAAGCTTTTGATTTGTAAGGTCATTAGCTGAACTGTTATTAAGAAAAAAGAAAAATGTCTCTATTTAGCAAAACAATTACATATCTGCTGACATACAACCCTCCCCAGACAAATACTTCTGTGTGAAAATACGGGCTTTCTGTATAACTGCTCCAGTAGACCTACGCAAGTGCTACTCAATCCACTCTGTAGACCCACTCTGCAGCAGCCCAGAGGTTTTAATACGGTGCAAAATCTTTTAGATTTGTCCCTCATTTCACTGATGAGGACAGTGCTGACCACAAGCTCAGCTGGTAGTCAGGAGATGGAACTGCAAAACCCAACCCCACAGAGGTGCTTTGTAGACATCAAGTTTTAGCTAGACTAGAGATTTAGCAAAGCTTGCATCTAGAAATGACGTGAAGCAAAGAAGTACAACTTACTCTACTGTAAAGTGGGAAGGTTAAGGGCTTCATGTGAACTTTTCAATTTGCGGCACCGTAAGCCACTTGGTCTGCAAAGTCCCTTTCTCACACTGCTGGAAATCTCACCCTCTCAGACAAAGTTACTGATACTTTCATTTCTCTTTCAGTTTGTTGCTCATCCCAACTGCCAGCAGCAATTGCTCACCATGTGGTACGAAAACCTCTCAGGCTTACGGCAGCAATCTATAGCTGTGAAATTCTTGGCTGTCTTTGGAGTGTCCATTGGCCTGCCATTCCTCGCCATAGCGTACTGGATCGCTCCCTGCAGCAAGGTACAAACTGATTAAGGTGCATCTTGTTTATGGTCATTTCTATCCATGGCCGGGGTTGAAGTCACAAATGTTTCTGTAATTCTGCAGCAAAATGATTAATTCTAGCCTCCAGGATTATCTCAAACTCAGATGTTTCTTGATGTGCACAAATGGACCCATTGGGCATGTTCCAAAGTTCATCCCTTAAAATAAAAGAGACGGGGTGGGGGAATGAAACGCTAAGACAGCAAGTGCAAAGAAAAGAATAGGAACAAGAAATAGAAAAGAGATGACCATATGTGACTGGGATGAAAAACAACAAAAAGGGAGAATAACAAAGGAAAAAGGCTCAAAAACCCTTTAGCTCACCCTGATTTCATTCTCTTTTCTGTACCGTGTATTGCAGGTTCTTCTCTTCAAGGCTTTTTGTTTCCCTTTCCATCTACTTCTTGCTGATCTTTTAGTTTTACTTAGTGGAGTGTTATTATGGCACTTGTATCTGAGGCTCTGTGAAGCCTTGGGGGAACTGTTGAATGCCACAGAGAAGACGAGACTTAACCCTGTAACCTTGACAGTGCTGGGGGAAACTTGAAAAATTGCTATGTACCTAACTATGGTTGTGCTGTCTCATAGCGTCAGATGGAGCAGAAAAGTCTTGCTAAGACCTAACAGGCCAAAGAGCCAGCCATTAGCTTGTGGTAAACCTCAAGCTGTCTGTGGTTTGGTTTCTGTCATGAGATTTCCATCCTGAGACTATTCAGTTAAAGGGAGATGAATACGTGTGTGGCTGGCTGATTAAGAGCTATTTCTCTACTCTTGCTAAGAGAAAAGGTGTGTGTGTGTGTGTGGAGGGTCATTTCTCCTGGTACAACACGGTCCAAATCGTCCATTACTGCTTAGAGTGTCTTCAGCAGAGACTTATCCAAGCTACTTAAATCTGATAGAAATGGCCACTGACAAGGGTAGTTTATTCCGTCCTGAAGGCATTTTCTTCCGTTTCCTTTAAAAGACAGTAAAGACTACATTCTAAATTTGTCAGAAACTATGAATCCACTGATAAGTTTTAAGGAAAGACTACAATTTCAAAAGAGTTATCCATTAGTACATCCAGGTAAAACTCTGAAAACAAATAGCCCTCCAGAAAACCTCATGTAATAAAACACATTTAAAGCTTGGTGTCTTCCAAAATATCCCTGGTGCTTTCTCTCAGAGTACTTGAGACATAACTTTATTTTCTCAACATTTATATCAGCACGAAAGTCAGCAGCTTTTATGAATACTGAACAGGACTCTAAAATATCCCACAGAACAGAGAAGCGAAACCAGAGCTGTTTGGTGGGTGGTTTTGGCTAGGTCTTAGCAGGAATTTGTGTATGGAATTACTATGTTTACTCCTGCATTTCAGAGCTCATGCCAGGGGGGATTTAGGAAGCCGTTTAACTGCTTTCACCTCTCTTTAGTGTGCTGACAGCATGCCAACAGCAACATTTATGGTATATTGTCAAAATTAGAGGAGTTGAATATAGCAATAGCTGGGGAACACAGCTAGACTAGAAATAAATGGAGAATTCAAAGAAAAAAAAAACTTAAAACGTGAGCTAAACTTAGAAATCATTTCAAGGCAAATTTTTGCAGCAGAAAAAAAAAGAAATGACTGAGAAATGATCATTTAAAAAAAAAATCCTTGAGGCAGAAGTACTGGAAGTGGAGGGAAAAAAAAAAAGGTGGGACAGGGGAAGGGCCCCCCTTAATTTTTCAGAGATCCTGATATTGCACTAAGTATTTCATAGAAAATCTTTCCTCTCTTTCTCTCTGGTTTAAAATGTGAAAATATATGTATCTTTCTATCAAATTTAAATTATAAGTTCTTTTAGGCAAGAATTGTCTTTTAGTGCACAATTTTGAACCAGGAAGAACAATGTGGGCTTGATTTTTGATTGGGGTCTCTGATATAGATAACTGACTACTGGAATAATGGACACAGATTCCCCAATGTATTGGCACTCTACCCAAAATTGGGACTATTAGACGTAAGGGCTCAAGATTGAGATATGAACCTTGTATCATGTCACTGTTATTGTAGATCACTACATGCGCAGTAAATTCTCTAAAATGAATTATGATCTCAAGAGAAGGTTTATATGTGATGCTGGCTGCTCTGAGGCTGCTGTTGTGTTCAACCTCTGCTGCAGGAAATGAGGAAGGGTCTGTGTTATGAGATAGGCAGAAAAGAGGGAGTTTCTTGATGTGGGTTTAGCTACCTTCTCTGCTTATGCACTAAAGAAAGAATATCTGCTGTCCTGACCAATATTGTGGTGCATCACAGCCTTAAGATACATAGGACAAATTTAGTAGTGCAATACAGAATAACAGAGTAATTCATATCTCCAAATAGTTCCTTTGCTAGCGTGTCTCGGCAAAGAATGTATTTTCATGCCGTTACTCTTTGATGGAAAGTTTTCTTTAATAAATGCTCTGTCATATTTGAATATGCCATACATTCCCTGCCCTTGAAAGTTTAGTATATAGTATTTAGCTGATTTTGTCACTGGACTCTTAAGTCTTCTCTTGCCCTTAGATATACAGAGCCATTCTTATTAAAACAATTTTGGTGCAATTTTATTCATTTACATGTGGCTGCACAGACTGCTAATAAAACTCCCCAAGTGTAAGCCTATTCTATGCTGAAAGCACTGCATCAGCTCATCCACCCCACGGCAATCATGACTCTCAAATTAACTGTTCGTTTATATGTTGGTGTCCACAGGAAAGTTAGGGACAAGATGAAAAAGCTGCACAATCTACCATCCAATTTCATGTTGTCAAGAGCAAAGAAGATTTAGACTGTTTGCAGGACTTCAAGAAGTGTTTTCTTTCTTCTCCAAAATGTTGAAGTATACAGTCAAATAGTATAATGCCAACAAAGATCATTTCCAAACCGCTCGCATTGCTTGGGCAGAGCCCTTGCTTTCATTTGGCCATGCTGGGGATTGATGAGCCAGAGTTCCAGTTGGCACAGACCTTGCACTTATTGACCACTGGAACTTCATTTGTTCACTCCACTTAAATACATACTACTACCTTCTCACTCGAGATATTTTCCTCTCCAGTTAATCAACATATGATTTCTAACATGATATTCTTCATGCCATGAGCATAATAATAAAAATAATAATAGCTTTAAAGTTGTTTCTATCACTATTTGTTCCTATCTCTTGGATTGAAGACAAATTTGCATTTGGACATTTTTATTTCACTATCACACTTTATATATTTTCTTTTTGACATGTCTGTGTGATTTAATATTTTCCAATAATACAGATAGGATATTAATTCATGAAATAAACCGTTCTCCTAAGAATACTCACACTTGTACTCCTGCAAACTTGTTTTGATTAAACATAATATTTTGATTTAATAAAACAATTGAGAAAGTGATACATCCAAGCAGTTATACACCTTGAATTTAACTTTATCAGATTGCTTTAAAAATATGGTGTTGTCATAAGGCATTAAGCTGACTGAAGCAATTCAAGCTTCATTAATTTTTCACAGAATATTCTAGTCAACACTTTCACCTCCTGTAACACTTGGCTAAAATCGTATTTCTGAGAAGATATGAAAAACATCAGCTCAAGAAAAAAAAACAGAGGCTTTTCTCAGTAATAAAAGGGATAAAGCATTGATGTAACACTGAATAAATGCAAACTTCTGTTAAATTAGTAGATAATTAAGTGAAATTATCCATATAATTCTGGAACAGTCAGCATTATTTCTCTGGTAACCCGTGCTGTACAACTTTAACCTCAGCTCTCTATTTTTTAGATTTCTATAGGCAAGAGAAAATGCCTAGTTATTTGAAGGGAATTCATGGCTCCCAGGAGAACACTTTTTCCTTTTGAGTGAACTCAGACTAGAAATGAGCCTTCGGTAGACTGCAAATGCTTCTTCCTAAAACCTTCCCAGTAATGACCCCATGCCCATAGTTATGTTGCTTTACTTCTCTATGAGTTCTCTTGGCCAGGTCATATGGGGAGGGTATCTGAGGCCATTATCATGTGGGACTTCCCTTCTATCATAACATTTTTCAAACACCTATCACTCCATCAAACCTGTGCTAGAAATACAAGGATCTGTACTATAAAATATATATCTAGTCAACACCAGTCATAAGAACTTCCGAAAATTTACACCACACCAAGATGTACAGTACCCCTATCACTAGAAGAGAAAGTCGGTGTCACAGATGATGGGAATATTTTTAACACTCTTGATCTGAAGAAAGCCTTGCATCCACCCTGGCATTCACAGACAAAACTAAGGAAACACAGACTCCAATTCAGTGAATATCTACCTGTAGAAATATTTCCTCACTGACTTCATTGAGACATAAACATATTACTAAGGCTTCAAGAGTAAATGAGATTTTTTCCATTTTCATTTCTGAAAAGTCTTACTGGGATTTAGAAACATGCAAATTTTCCAGTAGGTTTTTCCATTCTGTCAATCTCATAAAGAATTTATTTGACATTTTAAAAATTCAGAGAAGAAAAATAGATAAGAAGCAGAATCATAAAGCTTGAATTAAATTTCTGTTAGACCTAAAGAGCCCTGGCATAACTATGCCCTGGTTTTAAAATATTTACTGCTGTGTAATGACTAGAAACCTGGGCCCCTTAGAAATGGGCTTTGAACAAAGCTGCTGCTGCAGATACTCAAGAGAAAAAGGAATATAACTTTTCATTCCTTTTTTCATATCTCCTATGAAAATTTATGATCAAGTCAGAAGATAGACATATCATCAAGGGAGATTAATCAATGAGTAATAAAAACCAAAAAAAAAAAAATCCCATACACATTGAATCAGATTTTGAGGAAAAGGCTCATATGGAACTGCATTCTTCTTGATGAGTATTGTGTCCAGTGCCATGCATGCTGGTGCCTGCATTCATAAAGAAAGCAGCTAGGTCTGACATACATGGAGAAATATTTTCTTAGGTCACGGAAAATATGAAATGAGATGCTATTGAAATTAATTAGCAAGCAATACTTTTCAACAAGGAACAAATATTAATTATAGTGAAGAGATCTTGGCTCAGGTCACTGCTACTCCACTTGGCTTATTGTATTGAAGTCAAGCCCTGGGTTCTAATCAGAGCATCTCACACCTTTGTAGTAATTATAGTAGAACAGAAACCATAGTGGTGCCGTATAAGATACTAACATGCATAGAAAATTATCCAAAAGGCATAATTTGTAATGCAGTTCATAAGAGCTGGTAGTAGCAAAGAACAACTTGAACGAACCCAGGTTGTTTCATGATCTATAATTAATGTCCAAATTTTCTGCTAAAATTTAAATAATTTCCGCTTTGGGCAAGTTGTTAAAAATTTTACAGGAAAAATCTTGCAGGGAATGGATAAGAAAAAAATATCTTATTTCCTGTGTATGTTTCATTTCAGCTGGGACGGACCCTCCGAAGTCCTTTTATGAAGTTTGTGGCACATGCAGTTTCTTTTACAATCTTCCTTGGACTCTTAGTAGTGAATGCTTCAGACCGGTTTGAAGGAGTAAAAAATCTTCCCAATGAGACTATCACGGATCATCCTAAACAAATATTTAGAGTAAAAACAACCCAGTTCTCATGGACAGAATTGCTGATCATGAAGTGGGTGTTGGGTAAGTAAAACCCAAATGTTCTTTAGTCCTCCAGAGATGTTCAGAATGACTGGGAATAACTGTAGTTTTATAGGTGGTGATATGTCAAAGGAAAAAAAAACCCATGGGTCTAAATTTTGGATTGATGGAAGTGTTTTGATTGATTTAAGCAAGAACACTTGGTTACTGTTTTTGAAAATACTAAATTATGCTTCGCAAATTCCCACTTTCCAGGTTTCTCACTTCCTGTGATGAATGCTATAGATGCTGCCTGCTTGCCTCAGTTTAATCATTGTATCTTAAAGAAGGGAGTGCATTCATAGGAAATTGTTGTTTCTCCATAGGATATAACTCCTTTCAAGTCCATCTAAAGTAGGTAGGAAAAATATGTCCACCGCGACATGGATGACTAACCTGTCTTAGACTGCAATAGGATTTACTGCCCTGGGATCCTACTGTAACTTACTGAATCTCATTTTCCTCATCTGCAAAATGTGTGTACTGTCATTTACTTTTTTGTAAAGCAGCATGAGACCTAGTGGTGAAAAGCGCTAAGTAAAAGATGGATTTTTTGAAATCCACAGTAGAAAATTATTGCTGGTGAGATGACAGCACAGTGCTCAATTCTTTCAAAAGAAATGAAGATCTCTGAAAATTATAAAGTACTGTTTCAGTTGAATGAGTTCTGCTAAGCACAAAAGTATGTCAGAGGCACAAGTCAAACTGCCAAGGAGTTTAAGGCAAATTGAGACGTATGCCTTTTCCTGTAGACACGTTTTATTCCTGGCAGGTCTGCCACCTCGAACCACTGATCTAAACAAGCTTAGAAGGATTTATTGGGAAATTGAGCTGATCAGCTCTACAGAAACTTTATCTACCTTTGCTGCATCTATTTTTACTCATCACCATGATTTGGGTTCTTTTCTTGCAGCAAGTCAAATAATGGTTTCACGAGTGCTGATGGCATTAAAGCCCACTGAAAAATAGGGTATGGCTGGTCTGCCTGATGACCTGCTGGCCACTCTTTCTTTGTTCCCTGTCCTTGCAATAAGCAGAATCCTATACAGGATATTAGGCAAGAAAAAAAAAAACCTGAATAGATGCCAGACTAGATTGAGTAAGCCTATAAGATACATTTTTAAAATGATATTAAAGCAGCTGGGACAAGATGATTAGATTTTAGACCAGGTATTATGTTCTCATAGACAGTAGGTATCTTCCTGCCTGGGTGAGTTCCTGAGAGATGAAGGAGAAAACATTTCATTTAAAATGAAGGTTTTCAGTTTTCCGGGAGAAGAAAGGTGATTCATTGTACAGGCTTCCGAATATAATGAGATTTTCTAATGACTGCCTACATCAGCACTGACAAGTACTCTCTGGCCATGTTACCTCTCTCCCTACCTGCTGCTTCAAATATTGTTTCGGCATCAGTAAAGTGAAAGTTTGGTGCCTGCAGCCTGCTGAGAGCTGGCTCAGGGCTTGGGCACTTGCTGGGCCCTGCATGTAACCCAGAATTTTAAGGGCTATAAAAGGAGAATGGAAAATGAATTGCCCAGCCTTTGAGTGGAAAAAAAATTAAATCACTGGTATCTATACTAAAGTGCAAATATAAACAAATAAGAGCAAACACTCTTAGAGAGATGTCACAAGCAAAGTTACAAAGACAAGCTTTCGCAAAAATAGAGAGGTGAGTATATGCTGTGCATATGTTAAAAACAGTGAATCTAGCATTATGTACTAAATCTACACATCTGTATTAAGCTTGCATGGCAACATCTGCAATTGATAGTTTCAGACTTGACTGGGTAGGTGTGCTGCCTATATTCTTGCTCATAGCACAATCAAAAAGAATAGTTTTACTTATTCTTGGCTTGGAAATCCCTTTTTTTTCGGTTTCCGTATCTTCTCTTTTCTTCTTCATACTGTGGCAGCAATGAATGGTGATGACACACGACTCCTTTTGACTCAGAGTCAACCATTCCTGAGTAATTAGTTTACGGGTCCCTGGTCTTAGTTCGTTTTTGGGGGAGAAGATGGATTGTCTGAGTTATCTGGCTGTCAATCGTAAAATTAAGAGCCACGTTCAGAATAGCTTTATTTGAGGATAATGTGATACTTGAACAGTGTGCTGTGGCCTGGCGTGAGCACAGCCTGTGATAGCACTGCCTGCTATTAATCTTGCTACAGATGTAAAGCCCGAGCCACATGCACATCACACAGAAAGGCCGGGATTTTCTGCATGAGTGCCGTGGCCAGAAACGCACACTGGAAGCAGAGAAGTTGCATGTGGAGAGACACAATTCCACTGAGGCAGCTGGTGAGCTTGAGGAGACGCAGTCAGAGCACAACTGTCTCAGTTAATCCGACAGCCTTTGGCGGCTCGGGGAAGGCTCAAAGTCATCTCACTAACATCAGCGGCTTGTGATTTATGTATTAGGCCAGAGGATATAAAAATCTGACAAACCAGTCCCTTGTGTGTGCAGGTGGTGAACAGTTCTTGCGTTCTCCCATCTTCCTTCCCAACCTGCTCTGCCTGTGACCGACTCTTGTCCCTGCTAAAGCCAGAAGCGCCCATCAAGGTTGCATTTCTGATCTTTCTTCTCTCCATATCCCTACCTTTCTGGCATCCAGAGGCAGGAAACAGCTTCTTCCAGAGCCTATAGGTCACACAGTCGTTGGAGACAACCTCAAAAACAGGACAGCGAAATATAAACAAATCCCTGCAAGCCTGTTCTGCCCTTATCTTGTGTTGGTCCTCATTATTTCCTTTCGGATATCTCATCCTGTATCCTGTCTTCCAAATTTAGCTGCTTTCTTTCTATATAGTACTTTTACTTGAGGAGATGCTTTGAGTTACTCTCTCACAGTGCATCTACAATCACCCAGCAGTACTGACCACATAATTGCTGTAACTCTTCTGCATGTCTTGAATAGACATTTTTCCATATAGATGGATAAAAAATGATTGTCACATAGTTGGCAAAAAGAACGATGTAAATTATAGGCCAATAATGTAATACTTTCACTGAGTGATCATAATATTAATCAGTCTACTCAGATTTAGACTTTTCCTACTTCATTAATCTATGATTTTGGTACATTAAGTGACTTAGATTACAAATAAATTTGGGTGGGAGAGTTAATATTTAAACCAGGAAAGACATTTATGGGCCTCTGTGAATGAGTGATCTGCTTGGCAATGCCTTGTACATCGTAGTTCTTCAAGCGCTTTAGTACATTTTACACAATATGCCCTCATAATACATTGGGCTAATGCCTCCTACCTATTTCTTTTGGGATTTTTTTTTTAAACTAGAATTGTATTTCTTTAATATTTCATCCTCGTGCTGGGACAGTACCTGAGAAACCAATTCTTCCATCTCTCCCTTTGGCTATTTATTATTAAATTTTACTGCTTGTGAATGACGGCTGAGGGATAAAGTTCTTGCTTTAACACAGCCAAACACTTACAGATTTTAGCAGAGGAGCTGCCTGAGTGCCACGCTGTACAGCAGTGAGAGGGGTCCCTTTGCAAGCAAACCCTTTACCTTGGCATCATATATGAGACAGAGGTCCAAGGTGTATAAAGAGGTGGCCAAAGACCTTCCCCAGAAGACAGTTCTCCAGTTCCTGATATGACCCACTAGCGGTGTCTTCACACCAGGTGTCACGGGGACTTTAGCTTTTCTTTTTCTTACAAAGCCTTCCCAGTGCAGGATGACTGACAGGTTAGCAGTTCTTTATTCCTCCACCCTCCGGCTAGATTCACCGTGACTTGTTTCCTTTCTTACAACCCAACCTCCGACTATACCTCTTGGGATGCCACGTGCTTCCCAGAGTCTCTAAAGCAGACAGGCAAATACATTTTCATGCCACACCACAAAAGAGGATGAAGAAGAGTTCACAAAGAGGACAAAATCTCAGGAGGCCACTTGGAAATTGGCAGATACTGCTCCTACTTGATTAAATGTGAATTTTGCTGCTGCTATGGAAACAAGATTGGTCACCTGGAGATGTGGTTGCAATCTGGACAGAGTTCAGGAAATATTTCTATTTATCAGTAGGTTAAGCATTCCCATCTTTTAGCTATCCAGAAAAAATATTTTGGCTCTGGAGCTCTACTATGACTGAAAGTAGAGCATGGTGGTAAATCTGACTTGAGCTCTCAGCTCCTCTCTGCCCAACGAGTTCACCTCTCTTCCCCAGCACTCCCAGGGCAGAACACAAATATCAGCATTTTTGAATTGTCTTGGTTTGGCATTTAGGTTTATCTGTAAGTCTGTTGTTAGTAGGATCAATTCAGACTGAAGTCAATATTTTCAAAGTGATAGATTATATTTAAATATGTGGAAATTTGTTATACCTAATAAACAAAACTTTATAGAAAACATCTGCAAGGGCAGAAATTCAGTCTTTCCATTTCTCTGATTATATTGGTCCCCTGTATTTTTCAACTTTTCCAAGAATATGCAAGTTTTCCTAATGTGTTCAGTGTTTCTGAACCATGCTTTCTCTGTAATCACCAGAACTCAACATTACTGTTGAGTCATACAGTAAACCTTTGAAAATGCTAACTCATGCGCTCAACAGGATATACCAAACTAAGGTTTTGAATTGTTTTTAAGATGATAAAAGCATTCTCTGGAGAGGCCATTGGAATTGAAGAGTGGGTGTGCCAACATAAGATTATTGGGTTTGTCTTACAATTCACTCTTAGCCACAGGGTGGGCTAAGGGTGACTATAGAAAACAGCTTTCATATTTGCTACTTCGTGTGCTCTGATCTTCCCGCAGGCATGATATGGTCAGAGTGCAAGGAGATCTGGGAAGAGGGTCCGCGCGAATATGTCCTGCACCTCTGGAACCTGCTGGACTTCGGGATGCTGTCTATCTTCGTGGCATCATTCACAGCCAGGTTCATGGCCTTCCTCAAGGCAACTGAAGCACAACAGTACGTAGATCAGTACGTTCAAGATGATGACCTCAATAATGCCACCCTCCCCCCTGAAGTTGCTTATTTTACTTATGGTAAGATGCTTTTTGCTGTTAATTCTTCCTGTTCTTGCAGACTAATGCATGGTAGTGCTGAAAAGCAGCAGCTTTGCTTTTTTCTGCCTTCTTTGAAGCTTTTGCGAACTAAAGCAAATTATTCTTCACATATCTAGCCATTCCAGCCATCTTCATAAGCAGCTAGAGAGGAACTGATATATGAGCCTGATTATGTCTACTGAGGCTACATTCAGGTCTATCGAATACTGGCAAAATAGCTGAAGAAACAAATAATCATGAATGAGAGTGAGCAGAATTTGATTTAAATGACAGATGAATGAAGCATCTTGGTTTTCCAGATGTGAGAGGGAGGAGATATGTGAACAAATATAGAAACTAGAACTGCACTTCTACCCGGCAGTTTGCTCTGCATCTGTATCATGTTCAATGCCAGGAAAATGGCAGACACAGACACAGAGTACACCCAGGAGAAGCTCCTTCTTTATGAGAGACCCTTTGTTTTGGAGAGCTTGTGTCTTCTATAAGGGATAGATTGCATTAGGAAATTCAAGTAGCAGCAGTCTTGACAACATTGTTTTTCATGGCTGAAATTCTTTTTCCTTTGCTCTGCAAACGAACGGAGCTTTGCACCGAAGTGTAGGGACTGGATTAACCACATGGCTGCCTCTGATCTGTGCTTTTCCTCTCTCTGGTTTATTGCTGGCCCATTTTGAGTTCACCATGCAGCACTTCTCCCATAGTGCCAGAATGTCACATGCAGGCTGCTGCGTTCAGCGCGAGGATCCAGAACAAAATGTCACAACCGTATCCTACGAATTACTCCTTCCATTCCTTTTCATTTGGCTTAGTTCATTGCAAATAATAATTAAATTTAATGCTGTGCTTTAAGAGATGTTATGTTTTAGCCCTGAGTTGCAAAACCTATATCAAGAATCTCGGTTGATGCAAAAATGTTTATAATCTGTATTAATTAAAATATTCACATTTTCAGGAGATTACATAGATGTAGGTCTGGTATCAACAAGAGCTTCTTAAAAGATATATGAGTGACCATATTACAAGAATTGGCTTTAATTTAAAGGTAACATGAAGATGGTACACTTGGTGATTATATATGCTTTATCCAAACCCCTTGTTTAGTGGTAGGTGGTAGGGTAAAGATTTCAACCTTGTTAATGTTTCCTTTCCATATACTGATACAGTGTCACATATCTAAAGCTATAGGCAAGCTCCAATTCATGTTTTCAGTGCTCCATCTCAAGGGTTTTTAGATGTATGGCTCATGCAGTTGATGAAACAAAGAATGTACTTGGTTTAAAGCTGTGTTGTTTATTTGTTGTGACCACTTAGGAAATTACAGTGATCTGCCTATTTCTCTCCTCATTTCCATGTGAAATATACGACTAATCCTTCTCACCCATCCTTGTAAAGCATGCAGAGGACTTCAGTGACCAATCGTTTTAAATATTTTTCCTTAGCTCCTGGACAAAAGTGAGATATAGTCTTGACAATGGGTCGTTTTTCATGATAACTTCCAATTAACATTTTTTGTTACTAATACCTCATGTACATGTATTGTTTTAGCCAGGAACAAGTGGCTTCCCTCGGATCCTCAGATCATTTCAGAAGGACTGTATGCAATAGCTGTGGTACTCAGCTTCTCCCGCATTGCTTACATTCTTCCAGCCAACGAAAGCTTCGGCCCCCTCCAGATCTCTTTGGGGAGGACTGTGAAGGATATCTTCAAGTTCATGGTCATCTTCATCATGGTGTTCCTGGCCTTCATGATCGGAATGTTCAACCTTTACTCTTACTACCTTGGTGCAAAATATAACCCCGCGTTTACAACGTGAGTACCCAAGAAAAGGTGGCTTCTCTTGCAGAGCTCAATCCAATCTCGTCTGGCACAAACCCCATGGGAACACGGACAGGTTATACCCAGGCGTATGGGTCGATCCCTTTTCCAAGCCCCATCCTTCCCAGACGACTTGGGCGTCCCATTCTAGCTTAGTTCTGCTCCTGCCTGCTCTGAGCATCTGCCTGACACAGCTAGAATACTGTTTGTACTGCATTGCTGCTGCAAGGTCTGTTCAGATATTCAGGATGGTGCAAAAACACTGATACTCTGGCTCCTGTAAAGGCCATGAGAGATGTTTGGCTGAAAGCAGAGAAATGCATATAGCTAGTACTTTTATATACAAAGTATAGGTCCTTTCCTGAAGCATGCTGGAGTCCTCTGTGTTTCCTCTTCCCTCCTTATAAGATATCAGCCATCTTAACCCTCCTTTCAGCAGCTTCTCCCTTCCTACTGCAGCCTGAGTTTCCCACTTTCCTTTTCAAGCCTGATCCTTTCATTTCATTAGCTTTCATCTCAGCCAGACATGAACCCACGGCACATCTGCAGGAAAATGCAGGGTCTGTGTTTGCTGGGCTGGCTGCTTCTGACCTTGCACACGGGGAGAGCTATGAAACGTGGAGGCCCATATGCAAGGCAGAAGGAAAGTTGTTCTTCTGTGAGTAATTACAAAGAAGGCTGAAAGTGAATTAACTAATATATTTTACCCTCCCTCTCATTCTTATTTGCATATGGGCTTGATCTCATTGCACATAATTAATGGCAGTGGATAAGAGACTCTTAAACTTAATAACAATTCTGCCACTTGGGAATTTTCAGACATGAGACACAGTGAATTTGCTGTGGTAAGAAACAAAACTTGAATGCATATATTTTTTCCTTCGCGTGGGTTCAGGCAGGACCTGGAAAGTTGATATAAACGTAGGCACTTTTCACCTTGTAGAGCTATGCCTAGAGTTTCTACTCCAGCTACGCAGGGAGGGCACATCAAAGCTTTGTCTGGGAAGCTTGCATCAAGCCACAAGCCCTGGCAATCAGCTCAAGGCCTGAAGGAAGGGAGATGACTAGGTCAGAAATGGTTATTTCTGAAAACCAAAGTAATTGATTAAGAACATGTTTTGTGACATGGGCTAGAGGTATAAGGGAATTCAGCTAATGACTCAAGAGAAGCATCACAGCAGAGGCTGAACATACGACTAGTGTTTATAAAACTGCAAGGTAAAGCAAATGCAAAATAAGGAAGGATTTTCCGTATGTGTGAACTGTTTTGAGGATGCTGCTTGAGAGCGGCCACAATTACAAGGCATTGGAGCAGCAGGCCCTTGCTTGAATAATGCTTGTGCTGATGGAGAACAGCGTTTGTGGCTGCTCTACAGTAGTCAGCTGGCTCTCCAGAGCAATACCACTCTACATGAGGAAATAATTAAAAAGCATTGGCATTTGTCCTCATTCAGGGTAAACGATTGTGTTGAGCATGGCCATATGCACATAGATCAATACTAGTGAATGAATCACACCCTTTACCCCATCAGGGCAATCAGGAAGGCAGGGAGAAGCTGGCAAATGCTTCAAGAGGTTCAGGCTGATGCTATTTCCAAAGTGGGCAAGGCAAGAAGCTTTTGGAGGCAGCTCGGGAGCCCCAACCCCAACCAGGCAGGTGACAGCCGAGCAATTCGAGTACATTCTGCAGCAGCACAGGCCATGAGGGCTTGCTGTGCAGCACGTTCATAGCAGGTTGGGTATAATTCATTCCAACATGTAGCTCAAGCCAGAAAAGCATCAGGTCTGGAGCATTGCTCTTCCCTGACACGACCCCAGAACGAGATGGGAACTTGTGGCTGTCAAATCCTAGGTACAGGGTATGAGACCTGTCTCCCACCTCTGTGCCATGAGGGTTATATCTCAAATACTGCGCGGTAGCGGCCCCTCTTCTGCTCCCTGACCCATCTGATGGGTAACACAACCAGGACATAAGGTTTCAGGGCAGGAGCTCTCCTGTTGCTCAGCTGCACTTGAGGGATGTGTCCCAAATGCAGGAGAATCTTTTCGCTCACATGCAGCAGCCTCCACTGAGAAATTCTCCATAAGTGACATTTGGATGTCTCGTTAGATCACCATGCCTTGCTTTTGAGAAACGGTGGGGACTTTTCTTTCTCATTTTCCCATCTGGGAAAGAAGAGGAAAATGTGCCATAATGTTTCCACCTTACTCTGATGTAACTTTAAGGCAACTCTGCTACAGACTTGGAATGATGGAGCCTACGGCATTTACCAAATCCAGAGCAGACTGCAGCTGGCATTTGATGTGTCATTTCTCTAATGTGTCACACGATGAGCTGGGGGCTTTTCTTGTATCTCCTCTATGAGGCAATGACCTTTCCAGCTTCTTTTCATTCCCCCAAGTGGCTGTTTCTTTCCAAATGCACGGGAACCAGTTTTATCACACCACCATCTATTGAGACCTGTGCCTTGTAACATCATGTTTAAATTTACTAATCAAGGCAAATATGCCTTCTAGACTTCTCCTCTAACCTCAGGATACATTATAATGGAAAGACTTATGAGGCTAGATGCAATTATGTTTATCTGTTTTCAGTAGTCAAGTAGAAGCAAATTGGATATGTGAGATGAAACTTGCCTCTTATTTGTAGAGAAGATGCCCTCGAAGGACAAGCGTTAATCAGAAGCTGGATGGAAACTGTCCCTTCTTGCCTGGTGGCGCAGGAACCATCATTTATGGTTCTCCACCATGCATCTCCAGATCATGCTGTTAGCAAACACAAGACTGTGACTCAGTAGTATCGCTGCTCTCTGGTTGACGCAGATAACACAAGTGGATCTTCCTGTGGTCACTCTCTGTTCATGGAAATGACGAGCAAACGCTGACCGAAATGGTGGCCATTCACTGAAGATTGTTCATGTGTCTGAGAGGTGCAGAGGGTGCATAGGGTCCGCCTGGGTCCTCTGGTCAGTGCTCTTCCTCCTTAGCCTCAAGTATGTGCTCACTTATCCTGGAAGGACTTAATGTTGTTATGAAACAAACTTTCCTCAGATACAGATTTTCCTTTTGAAAAAGAGATTTAAAACAGACTTACTTTCTTCTAGCTAAACACAGAAGTGTGTCAAATGATCATTAACGACGAACCTTTTTGTCGTATGACAAAAATATACAGAGATCAGCATTCATCCTAAAAATCCTTCTCCAGCAAATTCTGGCTCGGGGAAGCCAGAAACCTACAGTTCCAATCTTAATAACCTAATGCCATGGATATATTTGCAGATGGACAGCTGCTCATCCTGGCAACATTTCCTTCTCCGTTCTTTTTTTGTTTTTCCTGAACTGCCTGTGGGGCCTGCTCAGGGTGGTGGGTTCCTACTGCCATTAACTTATTCATGAGGAGAAGGAAGGTTTTAGTATTAGAGCTGAATAAGTAACTAGAGCAATTGTTCTACAAATTCATCAAGACAAAGAAAAATAATGCTAGCTTTGCTATGCTCATAATCATTTGGTGACCTCCCCAGATGCATTTCTTGGCAGACCCATTTGCAAATTCTAGACAGGTGAAATTTTATAGAATGCAAGTTTTATATTCAAAAATATGACAGTCTTACTACATGACTTGAATTTTTGATATTAATTTGATATCAAAAGAACAGTTAGATTTGTGTACTAATGAGCCTGTGGCACTGAACGGATAACCTGCTCTGAATATCACATTATATAGAGCCCATGAACGATTTGACAGGCACAGAACAACTCAGGGAAATTACTTAGAATGACAAATACATCCAAGAAAACCACCACTTCCCAGGGCAACACTTAGGCAGAGAAAGGGCTACATTTGTCCAAATATTATTGAGAAGAAATTGTTTGCTTAGTACTAATGATAATAATCAGTGAATATCCACTGTGGTTTGGTTTTCACCTTCCTGTGTTTCTTTGAAAAGCATTCAGCATTCAGATTTGCTTGTGCTGCCTTTCAAAGAGCAGGCACTTAGCACCCCAGTGGCTTATGAAACGAGGCAATCACGCGGCGTTTCTGTTGTTTCTGGAATTTATATGTTCCCTCTGCAACAGAAATAAAATGCAGAGTGGCTTATTTCACACTGTTAAATACAGAGATTATTTAGCTAGCCATAGTATACTTTCAAAATATTTTTTGAAGTTCTTCAGTGTCAAAAAGCAGGCAATTTTCATGACTGCTGCAGCCGTGTTTATCTGTTTATTGTATGCTGTGTATAGAACACAGCTCTTGAAACAGCCTGTAATTAAGAACATGCCATGCAAACAAACCCGAAATGGGGGCGAGACTGATTGCATTCTTCTTGCTTTCTGCATCGCAAATCAGGCTGAAGGCCACAGCACAAGCTTTTCTGCCTCCTTCTCCCCAAAGTATGAGTCATTGCTCAGTACAAATGTTACACAGAGGTTTGAAGGCTTTTTCTTTTCCTTCTCATTCCTCTTTGTCAAAATTAGATGTTTTTGCAGATTATATTCACTGCATTGATTGTTTGGCTGTGCGAAGCCTTGCCTATCAATTCAGGAGAGAGCTCAGTCTGAAAGCATGCCTTAAGCTTTGTCACAGAGGAGGACACAAGCGAGAGACTGACATGAGATCACGGCCTTGCCACAATCTTTTCTTGATGAATAAATCGCTGCTGTTTATAGAAACAAGGCAAATCTGCAACTAGATGCTTAAGTATGCTCAAGCTTTCTTCCTTGATGGTTCTTTGCTTAACTTGCCCAGGACTGTGGGTATTGGAAAGGGTTCTCTTGCCCAGTGTGCTGTCACCCCCCTAACAGCCATCTCTGCCTTGCTGGAGCCATCAACCCCAGCGTGACTATCTCAGTGGGACCTGGAGTCAGTCTGCCACTGTTCAGCTCCTGCTCTCGGTAGTGACCATAACCCCTGGCTTCCTCTTGTTCTTCATTTGGCCACCTTAGGAGAGGATGAAGCCACCATAGATCTTGCAAAAGGAGGGTAAATTGCACAGACAGCAATAGCAAAACTGAGATCCATGCCTGGTGCTGGAGAGGGGCACCTGTGGCGTTGACACCGGAGCCTGACACTGGCCCGTGCCCAACCTTGCTGTCCCATTCCCAGCAGCCAGGACCGCATGCAGCTCGTCGTTAACTTTTCCGAGAGGGTCTGGCACGGCTCCAGAGCCAAGGTTAATGCTAGAGCTGCAGAAAAGGAGTGGAGCTGACATGCTGTATTAAAAACTGCCAGCAGGGTAGAAAACTAAGGGAACCTTTCCAAATTAAAAAAGGAAGGTTAATAGCAGGGTGCTGCCGGGATCAAGGCTAGCGGTTGCAGTTTTTATTAGTTTGATATGTGACTTACTTAGATGACAGGTTTCAAAAGCAGAGGTTTCTGGTGTTATGTATGTTCTTGAATGTTTAAGCATACGTTTAAGGGAATAAATGTTGGCTGGATTGCTGCCATGTAAGCAAAGTGTCGTGTTAGTGACAGCTACCTTTTACCGTGGATGAAGGCAGAGGGCAAGAACGGTGGCATTACAGGAGAAGAAAAGGCCACAGAGCTAAAAGTGTCACTTGCTGCTGCCTGCTGTCACCAAGTCCTGCCTCATCCCATGGCTCGGTCCCTGGAAAACATCCCAGCCAGGGGTAACGCTCCCTGGGGGTGTCCACACAGAAACGATGGCTCTCAGAGCAACAGATATTGAAGAGCAAACCACATTTAAAAAAAAAAAAATATATATATATATATATATACATATTTTTTTTTCAAGCTATTTGAAATGTCCCCTGAGGTTTGCTTCCCACAAGTCAAGGCAGCTCTGCTGGCTGAGCCTGCCTCTATATTCCCTGCAGCCTCACTGCTACGTGCAAATAGAAGAAGGACATGGAGAGCTGCGATGGCACCGGTTTGCTGTGGCAGCCGTGAACCGCCCGGTGCTTTCCAAGGACTGCAACCGATTTATTTTACCCTGTGCATGGTGTAATGGACACTGGAGCTGCTGCAAAGCTTATTGGTCCCTTAGGGCGTGTAGTAGTTTTGTGTCTATAATCTGTTTTTATAAACACGTTTAGCAGGATTAAGCTGCCACGCTAGTGAAAAAACATTGCATCAACGTGGCTTGCAAATGTCGCTGTTTTCTTAGAAGGTGTCCACGTCCCTCGAGGCAGAGGGCAGGTGATCAGCTGTTACCACACAAAGGCAAACTTGTTTATAAATTAAAAACTATGCAAATTGCTTCCAAAAGGATCAGGATCCCTTCTTGTCCTTCCTTTCCAGTTGTAGCTGCTCCCCTGCTGCCTTTAGCCATTTTGGCTTTGCTGAATTAGATTCTTTTCAACCTGTCACTCCAGGCTTATCCCTGCCTGCCTCATTTCTCTTTGGCTTTTTCCCCCTCTCAATTTTGCACTGTATGCTGGTTATACTTCTGGCATAAATCAGGGCTTTTGCCTGGCCCCACCTGCATAGAAAGTGATGCCTCCCTTCTGCATTGGAAGCTCCATTATCAGGAAGCTGGACTGGCTCCTTCTTCCTTTTCCGGAATAATCTCTCCAAAGGGCAAATGGGTGAGTGAGTAGAAACACACAACTCTATAAGAAAAGCTTCCAAATACAGGTAGTCCATGGAGAAGAAACCTCTAATCTCTATAAGGACACAAAATAGAATTTGCAAATAATATGTCTGAGAAGAGCAGATGGAGCAGACAAGGGGACACTGTCACTTTCTATTATTCGTCAAAATTTTAATTTCTTTATCAGGTCAGGAAATATCGCTTGGCATGTCCCTGGGTGATGGATAATGCCTTGCAATGACTGTGCCAAGACATCATATTTATATTGGCAGAGCACCACTTTTCTTATTAGCATTTGGCCTGGCTAACCTGGTGTTAACCCTATAAAGTGATTGTTCTGTCTATTTTTTTTAGGGTGGAAGAAAGTTTTAAGACCTTATTCTGGTCGATATTTGGCTTATCTGAAGTGATATCTGTGGTGCTGAAGTATGATCATAAATTCATTGAGAATATTGGATATGTACTCTATGGAGTATATAATGTGACTATGGTGGTGGTGCTGCTTAATATGCTAATAGCCATGATCAACAACTCCTATCAGGAAATTGAGGTAAGATAAGAAGCTGGATTACAAACTCACTATATATTATCATCATTGATGGTGCAAATGCTAAAAGAACAAGGAAGTTATTGCATAACTATGGGCAATATTTGAGTCTTATTAAAACACAAATTATGAATCATGTGAGCATTGCGTAGTCGGTTTCCCCAAATCAAGGCTGAATTAATAATTAACAATGAATCCGTTTTGTAACAACTTAATTTCCTTGTTTTTAATGATTGTTTGTGAGCAAACGCCAATTTCCTTTACATGCATTTAATGAAAGAGGTTTCCTTATATTTTATTCTTTGTAAAGGGGGATGGGTTATGATCACTTAGACATGTGTATTAACTTAGCTGTGTTATTTACGAAAGAACAAATAGTACATTTCATCTGGCTTTTTCCCCTGTTCTCTACTGATTAAATGCATAGGTCCATCTAGGTCTGAAGCTCATGTAGGCATATTTAAAATCCTCTATTTTTCATGCACTAAGGATATAACCTTGATATAGAATTTTTTTAGGAGTGCTTGGGTCAGCAAAACATAACTGCATGAACATTCCCGAAAATCAACATTTAAAGGGCATGAACATAACACTAGGGGACTATGAACAGGTTTCTGAGGTGAGACATGTGTAAGATTTACCCAACCCCAATCAATATTGTTGGCATTCGCAGACTAAATTCACAAAATGCTTTGGGTGTATACAACTTTGTGCTAATACCAGGAAAAGAGATTAATATTTGGGAATGTTAGTGCCGATTCACCTCTTTCTTCTCCTGATTTCTCAAATGTCAAGTTTCTGTGGTGGGGTTTGTATTAATTATTTGCTATAATCTTCCCTCAGAACCTGACACTGCAAAAGGCCAGGGTTGAAAGTATTTTCTCGCTGTAATGTCTAATTCCTCCATGCTCTGAAGTGCAAATATAGCTCTGTCTTGCGTGTGCTGCAATTAAGTCTAAATGTCAGTGAGACCTTATGTCTGTGCTCTGCCCAGAAGCCCTCCTGCATGCAGAAGGCATTCCCCCCAAAGGCTTCAGATCACTTAAGATCAGGCTTCTTCCTTGGTTCTCTTCTACTGAAACAAGTTTTACTTTTAAATAGGGCCTCAGTATTTACTGCATTTTCTAGTTTATTGTTGTAGGCAGAAGTGCTACAGAAAAAAAACTTTTCTAAAAGTGTCTGGCTAGGTGGCCTATTTTGGTCTTTTATTTTAAACTTAGTGATGTTCAGAGAATTTGCAGGAAATGTGCTTTATCATTCTTTATAGTTGTCTATAATTTTTCAAAAATTTGTTAAGAAATAGTCATATCAAGAAAATAATTTTAAGCTGTGTGGTCCACACGTTCCTTATTTGAGGAATGTGAGAAATCTGCTAATGCCTTTAAATGTTCAGGGAGAATAATAAAAAAAAAATACAGTTTTCCAATTCAAAGTCACTTGTGACAGTGTCTTTATCTGATGACAACAATATCAATGACAACAGAGGACTGTAATTACTTGGAATTAATTTCCATTATGGCCACTGGGGCCTTGCTTTCTTGATAGGTGAAATTAAGAGACCATCTTCTTGCATTTTCCATTGGACCCATCTCTACAACTATTTCTATCTTCTTCTATTTATTTCTGGCTTTCAAATATCAGTGCTTCCAGCACACTTTTCACTTATGAAGAGGAAAAAAAAATCCCTTTTGTCAGACAGAACCAGGACTACTTCCATGACTACTTCCACTGTGTTCTTAGATAGGTAGCATAAAAGCATTAAATAATGCTAACGAGTTATGTATACTGTAATTAGGCTCAAGATTTTTGTTAAGTTCAACTGCAAGTAAGGAAAAGGCCAAATGGCAGAAGTGAATAACATTGACAAAGGCATATTGCTGTCACTGTGATAGAATTAAGTTCTAACCATCTGTTCAGTGTTATGCCTGCTTTTGACTGCATTTCAGACTTAAGGGTTAATCAGAGTTATACTCTCAGAGGAGAGCCAGATACATGCATTATTAATTTCAGCAGATGCTGATGGTAGGGGCAACCATGCTTCTACTGATGCTGCTGGCTTCCATATAAATCCAATTAAAACATCTGCAGAGCATCTGTAGCTCAAGTTTTCCTTGACCTAGTAAGCAGTCTTGATATATGGGTTTGACGGTCCTCTGATATAAATGGCAAGCAAATCCATAAAATATGTGCTAACCTTGTGCTCAGGAATGATCTTGGCTGCCCTTGCCAATCCCCAAGGGGACTTCACCAGCACGGAGAAATGGACCTGTCCTCTACCTGCTTATGTGACAGGTTGAGAAGGCCAAGAACTAAGATGTACTAATCTATGGACACGTGATGGTGAAAGCAAACAGGATTGATGAGGAAATCAGCTGATGATAAAAGAAGTCAGGGACCTGACTTGACTTCTTTAATCCTATAAAGATCCCCTGTCAATCCAGCGATAACGGTTCCCTGGCAATTAAATGACATTGCACGTAACTGGAGGCTTTGTTGTTGTTGGATATATATGCATATATTAAATCTTTTCCTGCTTTCCGCAGCTCTATGTATGTTCTGATACTTCTCTCAGCACAGCACAAACACCAGATCATTATTTTTTTCCTAGGTATGAAGGACAACCCCTTTCATAGTCAAGGAAGAGTTTGACTCAGCATAAAAGAATCATGTCCAAAATATTTTTAGTGAATCTATTTACTGGCTACCACTACCAACCTGCCTGTGGCCTTCCCCAGGGAGAAACTGGGGATCAATACCAGATTTTGAACCGTAGCACACTCTATTCATTCGTCCTTCTTGTTGCAGCAGGGCTCTGCTCCAGGTCTTGAGGCCCTCCATGCTCCTTCCTCCAGTCCATTTCTTTCTTTATGGCACTCTGCTACGTGTTTGCAGCCCTTGCTGGAGAGAAGCACAAACTCATTCATCTCAGAGTTCTCACTGACCTTTCAAACTCATGACATTTGCCTGGCTTAGAAGACAAAAACAGTTTGTCCATTTCCAACTGATTCTTTATAAGCAGCTTGTAGAAAAACTCCTCCTAAGTAGAAATGACATCAGTTGAATATGTGGAGGATTTGTGCTCTGAATATTCACTACTTTGGTTAAACCTTCCTTGCTTTGAGATGGCCATAGAGAAGCCTAGAAGGCCACACTGTGTATGAAGCAGTCTTGGTTTGACAACCAGAAGTTTCATTATTATTAAACCATTTCTCTATGTTTTCCTCTGTGCTAACAAAGTCCGGTAGCCAAATCCTTCCGATGTACTAACTATGCACTTGGTTTTGTCTTGTTTTGCTTTCCTCTTCCCTCCCTAAGGAGGATGCAGATGTGGAGTGGAAGTTTGCACGGGCCAAGCTCTGGCTATCCTACTTCGACGAAGGGAGGACTTTGCCTGCTCCTTTTAACCTAGTGCCAAGCCCTAAATCATTTTATTATCTCATACTGAGAATAAAAATGTGCCTCATAAAACTCTGCAAATCTAAGGCCAAAAACTGTGAAAATGATCTTGAGATGGGGATGCTGAATTCCAAACAACGGGTAGGTGGCAACTTTAATTTTACCTTCCTTTTAGAAAGGATTTGAGGACTTCTTTTGGGGAGGAGGGTTATTTAGCTTGCAGGTAGACAAGGGACCAGAATAACTGCCTGCTCGACGTCGTCATTATGCAGTGCTTGTACTAGAGCAGCATCTAGAGGGTCCTCAAGATTCACGGCCCAGACACTAGGAAAAGAGCAATTTTTAAAAATGCAGGCACTGTTATAAGGGAGTTTCCCAAG